AGAGAGAGAGAGAGAGAGAGAGAGAGAGAGAGAGAGAGAGAGAGAGAAACTTCCATCCAGAGAGCAAGCCATCCAATCTTTAGTTTAAGCCTGGTTTAGATATCACCAATTTATAATTTGGAGATAGATTTAGGTATTTGGCACCAATATATACAACAATAACTAAGTTGTCTGTAATGAGTTAGTCACATGGGCAGTCCTAACCACAAAATCAACCCAGATCATTAGTTCATGTCACTGAAGAAATCAGTTACCATTTGGGGAAAAAATAGATGATTGTCAACAAGGCATTAGAGTTGCCTTACTTTCTTAATAAACACTGGTGACATTTACTAAATTCTTTCTGTGTACCTAGTCCCTGTCTAAGAACTTTATCATATTGTTGTCATATGTCTCATGGCCCTATAAGCAGATACTACTATTACCCCATCTTATAGTTATGAAAAGTCAGGGATAAATTCCATTTCCAAGGTCACACAACTAGAGAATGCAGAGATGTTTGTTGAATACAGTCTCTAGGAGTCAATCCCTTACCTCAGTGACTGATAGTCATTTATTTCACTTTACCTAAAAGCAGAAAGGACTGCATCTCCTTCCTCTATCTGCTCCTTAAATGTAGAAGAAAAATGGTGGTGTCTCCAAGACAACAGCCATGCTCTCTTTACTGTAAACAGCAGGCCTAATGACATCATCCAAACCATTGCTGAAACAACCACACATTCTGACTCACAGACCTCGCTTCTGGCTCTGCACAGACAACTGTCTGCTGAATTTATCCAGAAGTTACATGTCCCTAAAGCAGTCCTAACTCAATATATTACCTCCTAACTTCTTCTCACATGCTTCAGTGTCTGTCAGGGAAGAGCCACACAATCATATGGCAGCCAACAGGTCTACAGCTATACATGAGATTGGGACACTGTACCTACAATAACAGCATATAGTCTGTGCCGTCAGGTCCTATCTTATCACTCTCAGCTCACTTCCTGTCGCTTCATCTCACCTTATTTGACTCCAGAAAAATGCATCTTTTTCTAGTTTCTAGATGTACTTTGGACTCCTTGTCCTTCGTGGGGTTTCAGCTTCAAAATGCTCTAAATCCTTCATGCTAATTTTGATCAGCTGCTTTTGCAATGATTAAAAATTCATAGTGAATTTAATAGATCTTCTTTGAGTTTCGTGAGTTTTTCTAACGTTTTGGAGCTGGTTGTGGTCTTGGGGAATCTTTGAACTTGAACTTGGTGTCATAACTAAGGGTGGTTCTGGAAGCAATGCTCTTGAGAACTTGGGTTTCCTCTGTGGTACAGCTACGTACCCCACAGAACCCTCCATTCTGGATATTTGTATTCTTTCTAAACTTTTTGCTTCACCAAAGCTTATCAGTTTTTAAAATCCCACTGATAGTATCTATCCCCACAACAGGATGCAACTCAAGTGTCACATTATTTAAAAATAGATTTTATCTTAGAGGCAGAATCTTCTCGTTTTGTTTTGTTTTGTTTCTAGCCTGGTCTCACATTCCTGGCCTTGAGAGATTCTCCTGACTCAGGTACCCAAGCATATGACAATCATTAATGAACTGTATGCCACCCTGCTCTTTCACCCCTTCCCCCAAAGAGAGAAAGGAAAATGTGAAGGAAATGAAATAACATAGAGGGATGAATGAAGGAGGGGACTGCGGGAGGGAGAAGTCCAGTCTCAGTAGATATCACACGGCTTTAACCCCAACTCTGTAAAATCTTGTAATCGATTCCATGGAGTGTGTATTTCATGCCTAAAATATTCAGATGTGGTAGCACAGAGA